GCTAGTAAGTGATCAGGTACTTATAACAATGCTTACAGAAGGCGGAACCAATGCTAGTGTTGTAATCAGATGATCTATATTGGTGGTTTGGCTCGTCTTGGTCTCTATATTTAGGGAACAGCACAGGCTATTGGTGGTAAGCCAAGGACCAGGGCACTGTCACTTCTCAGTTATTTGGTGTGGCTCCTTAGTCGAGGGCCTGGTGGAAGAGCTCCATCTTGCAGGCCCTGCAGAACCAAGGGGCCGATCTCTTCTGGGAGCTCATTCCACCAGTATGGAGCCTCCACTGAGAAGGCCCTGTGTCAGGGTTTGATAGTCAGGTCACACCACACAGCGCTTCATAAGAAGAATTCTGTTTATTGGTATTTCATAACTATGACACGTGTACTTCTTGTGTCAGGAACGGCCCGAAGCATCAGTGCACCCTCAATTATACTAGATTCAAAGCACCCTCCTTACAAGTGAAAGCCAATAAGCAAAGTCCGTGCTCGGGGGGGAAAAGAGAGTGGGCAAAAGTAGAAGCTGTTTGTTCCCAGCGAGTCGGCACCAGCTGGTGCATCCCAAGGTCAGGAAAGCAAAAGCAGATAAAACCCAGACAGTAGACTTTGTTAGTGTAACAGGCAGAGGCAAGGTGGATTCTCCCCACACATTCCGGAGAATGGCAGTGCTAACTGACATCCTGCCCTCCGAAAGGCTCCCCCCACTCAGTTTATCTGGGAAACGACGGTGGAATCTGTGCAGTAGACGAGGGGCCTTGATGTGACCCACCTCCACCCACTCGCGATGTTGTGGCCCAAGGTCAGCCCATTCCACCAAATAGTACAACTTATTTCGCTTAAGCTCAAAGTCCAAGATATCAGCCACTTCAAAATGCAGTTCGCCTTGCACCACCAGGCTGTGCCCGTTGGGGCCTCCAAACATTTGGCCCGGGATCCCGTTTTAGGAGGCTAAAATGGAAAACGGGATGCAGAAACTTTAAATGTTTAGGCAAATCAAGCTCAACAGTCACATCATTGATTTTACGCACCACCTGAAAAGGACCAATAAACTTCCACCCCAGTTTACGCATAGGGTGAAGACCCCTCTTGTTTCTAGTGGAAACATAGACCAATTCCCCTGGCTGGATGTCCCAGCCCTCAGAACGTTTCTTGTCAGCTTTCGCTTTATATGCGTCCTTAGCCCTATCCAAAGTCTTGCACAGGACCAGCCATGCGTCACGCAAATGCTGACACCAGTCCCCCACATCCCCCTCAGGCAGGGGAGAGTCAGTCAGGAAGGGGAGAGGCGGAGCCTCATAGCCATAGAGAGCCATGAACGGGGAGACTCCCGTGGATGAGTGACACATATTATTGTAACAAAACTCAGCAAAAGGGAGGAGCCCCTCCCAGTCATCCTGTTGATAGTTTGTGAAGCATCAGAGGTACTGCTCCAGGGCTTGATTGACCTGTTCAGTCTGGCCATCAGTCTCCGGGTGGTAAACGCTACCCAGCCCCCGCTCCACCCCAGCAAGTCCATGAGTTCCCTCCAGAACTTAGAAACAAATTGCGACCCGCGGTCAGAGATTATCTTGTGGGGTAAAGTATGCAGCCTGAACACCTGTTGGAGGAATGCTTTGGCCAGAAGGCAAGCTGTAGGCATGGACTTAAATGGGACAAAATGGGCTTGCTTGGTAAAAAGATCCACTATCACCCATATAACCATCTTCCCCCGGCTGGGAGGTAAATCAGTGATGAAGTCCATGTAGAGCACCTCCCATGGTCGGCCGGGGGTGGGCAGAGGCTGCAACAGTCCAGGTGGTTTACACATGATGCACGTCTGGCATGACTGGACAAACAGGGAGAGATCCTTCCTCATCCCGGGCAACCAGAACTGGCGTTTGCAATAAATGTAAAGATTTCACAAAGCCCAAGTGCCCCGCCAGCTGACTGCCATGCACCACCGACATGACTTCCCCCTGCAATGCAGATGGAACAACCCAGCCCCCGCTCCACCCCAGCAAGTCCATGAGTTCCCTCCAGAACTTAGAAACAAATTGCGACCCGCGGTCAGAGATTATCTTGTGGGGTAAAGTATGCAGCCTGAACACCTGTTGGAGGAATGCTTTGGCCAGAAGGCAAGCTGTAGGCATGGACTTAAATGGGACAAAATGGGCTTGCTTGGTAAAAAGATCCACTATCACCCATATAACCATCTTCCCCCGGCTGGGAGGTAAATCAGTGATGAAGTCCATGTAGAGCACCTCCCATGGTCGGCCGGGGGTGGGCAGAGGCTGCAACAGTCCAGGTGGCCTCCCAGAACGTGGTTTACACATGATGCACGTCTGGCATGACTGGACAAACAGGGAGAGATCCTTCCTCATCCCGGGCAACCAGAACTGGCGTTTGCAATAAATGTAAAGATTTCACAAAGCCCAAGTGCCCCGCCAGCTGACTGCCATGCACCACCGACATGACTTCCCCCTGCAATGCAGATGGAACAAATAGTTTGTGCCCACAGTACCAGCAGCCGTTAGCCCTTTCCTCCACCTCCCCCTCCTTTTCCAACTCCTTTTGATCAGAGTCCAAGAGGCCGGAGACAAAATCAACACTCTGTATCACACAGTGGCCAGAAATACCAGGGGCCATCAGGAGGTCCACCAGTGGGGCCAGGACATTAGAAGCCCTCCCACTGTTGAGCCCCCCAAGCACCAAGATGACAGCATCACTTGCCCCAGAGTCCCTATCTATACCTTGTGGCTAATAGCCACTGATGGACCTCTGCTCCATATGCTTATCTAATTCCCTCTTGAAGCCGTCCATGCTTGTAGCCGCCACCACTTCCTATGGCAGTGAATTCCAAGTGTTAATCACTCTTTGGGTGAAGAAGTACTTCCTTTTATCCATTCTAATCCGACCGCTCAGCAATTTCATGGAGTGCCCACGAGTTCTTGTATTGTGAGAAAGGGAGAAAAGTACCTCTTTCTCTACCTGCTCTTTCCCATGCATAATCTTATAAACCTCAATCATGTCACCCCTCAGTCGTCATTTCTCCAAGCTAAAGAGCCTTAAGCGCCTCATAGGGAAAGTGTTCCAACCCTTTAATTATTCGAGTTTCCCTTTTCTGCACTTTTTCCAAAGCTATAATATCCTTTTTAAGGTGTGGTGACCAGAATTGCACACTGTATTCCAAATGAGGTCGCACCATTCTTGCCCTTGAGTCTTCTTGCCTTGTTTGAAAGTACGCAGATAGGCACATGTGTGCTCACTGGTGTTAGGGTCTTCGTACTGCGCTTGGAGAGCCCACGTGAACTCGTTCACTCCCATGTAGAGAGCATTACAGTAGTCCAATCTCAAGGTGACCATCGCATGGATCACTGTTGCCAAGTCCTTGCATTCAAGGAAAAACCTCTGTAGCTGAATTGCCACAGCCCTCTCAATTATTTTGCCCAAATAGGGCAGATGGGAGACTGGCCGGTAATTAGCCAATTCAGCTAGATCCAGAGAATTTCAGGAGGGGACGAACCACAGCTTCCTTGAGTGGCCTAGAGAACTGTCCCTCCGAGAGGGACTTGTTGATAATCTCCCTTAGGGCATCTCAAAACCCATCATGGCCAGCTTTAATTAGCCATGATGGGCACAGGTCAAGGCAGCACATGGTAGGGCATACCATTAAGAGCAGTTTGTCAACTTCCTCCAGGCTGAGTGGACTGAAATAATCCATAACCTGACTAGGACGTGCATGGAGCCTCGAGTTCACTGTCTCAACTGTGGTGGGGAGGACATGGTGGACTTTTATCTGCAAAGTAGCTCACAGAGGCCTCACAGCCAGTGTCCAGTTCCCTAACATTTGGTCTGCCTTGTGGCAGAACAGGCATAGACCAAATTATTCTAAATAATTGGGCTGGGCATGAGCTCGCAGATGCAGTCATGGCCGCATAGTACTCTCAGTGGCTTTGAGTACCATCTCGTAGGATCTCATAAACGTCCTATAAGTGCACCGCTATGAGCCTTCGCTTCATTAGTCTCAGCTCCTGGGTATACCAAGGAGCCAGCCTTGAGCGAGGGTGCAGAGGGCATCTGGGAGCGATCTCGTCAATGGCGCTGAGAGTCGGCTATGCCAGTCCTCGACTAGCTCATCTAACAAGCCGCCAGGGGGCAATGGATCCCAGAGAGCCATCTGAAGCAGCAATGGGTCCATTAGGCTCCGTGGGTGAGCCAAAATCAGCTCGCCTCCCAAACAGGGTTGGGGTGACAAGTTCACTCGGGCCCTCAGGGCATGGAACTGCCATAGCAGTAATCCTGTCCACTGTAACCCCCGCCGCGAAGATCAAATCAAGCGTGTGACCGGCCTGATTAGTGGGGGCCGTTACATATTGGGAGAGTCCCAGCGCCGCCATGGACGATGCCAGGTCCACCACCTGGGAGGAGGCCGCATTGTCGGCATGGATGTTGAAATCACTCAGGACTAGCAGCCTAGGGTGTTCCAACGCCCAGCCCGACACGACCTCCACCAGAGATGGCAGGATGCTGGCCAGTTCTTTTTTCATCAAAAAACCAAAGATAAAGTAAAACCAAAGGCAAGTCTCACCTTACAGTAATTATGTTTTGTTGTCAGAATTACTACTTTATGTTTGGTTTTTAATACGTTTTTGCTGTTTTATTATCTGCATTATGTGATTATTTTTAAAAGAGAATCTTTTTTGCCTCAAATTTTGTACAATAATGAAAACATTGTCCTCTATTCATAAAAAAAAATCAGTAAAAAGGTGTGCGATCCTTTTATCTGGGTCACATCTAACTATGGGGATGGCTATGGGGATGGTAGAGGCCAGATAATGATAATTTTTAATGAAGTCCTAGTTTTACATTTAAAACGCTAGCTTATTGGTAGGCTGACATTAAATTGTTCAGTAAATTCAGGGTTTTTTGGAACTTTGGTCAGTAAAATCAGTATTTTTGACCCTCTGACTAGTTTCCACCCCTGCTATCACGTATCCTGTTCCTTTCTACTTTCATTTGTAGGTGTTGCCAACTAGTGTGAAGCCAAACCTAACCTTGCCTGAAATCTCCATAAAAGGGGAGGTTTATTGTGGGGAAGAATCATCTCCGTCTGCTTCCCACCAGACCACAAAGGAGGATGCCTGTCAGATCAACAGAGAATTGTTCCCTGCAGTCCTGTCTATAGAAAAGGAAAGGGGCTTTCACCTTTCTGAAGGAGGGGCCCCTCCTTTCCAAACAGCGCTGCCCGTGGAAGAGCCGCCACTGCAGGGTGATGAAGAGCTAAGCCTGCTGCTCCCGGCGCCTGAAGAGCAGAAGAAGCAGCTCGCAGCCCTCAAGCCGCCATTCCAGGAGACGCCTGGCACAGAGAGGCATGCCTTGCACGAGACCGGCACATCTAGGAGGAAGCAGCTCTTGGCTCTGCCTTGCCCGGAAGAGCCAGTCCTCCTCCTACCATCCAGCCATGGTTCAGAGTCCCTCACACTGGAGCACAGTTCTCCCTTTGAACACCCTCCGGGAAATGTGTCCCAGCTTAATTGCTCTCAGGGTGTGTGTGGCCGCTTTGAAACTCCAATTAAGGAGGTGTTTTGCAAGCTGCCAGCTTCTTCCACTCCTTGTAAAATGCCCACCTCCTCTTCCCTGACACTTACTGATCCTTGGAGACTGGTGCCCTTCCTCAAGGAAACTAGTACCCAGGGTTTTAGCCCCAGGAGGAGCCCTCCAGTACCGTCACTGTCCCTCCAGGAGGATTTAGACCTTAGCACTTCCCCGAGACCATCCATGTTTGATTCTCCTCAGCCACTGCTTCTAAATACAGAAGCCAATGATATGGTCTCGGGACCACTGATAAGCTCTCCTGCATCCAGCAATGAGTCACCTCCACAAGTTCAAGCTTCTGTCCTCCCTGAAAACTGTTCACTCCAAGATGGCCTGTTCCTGGATACCATGAATGAGAGTTTGAGCAAAATCCTGCTTGACATCAGTTTCCCTGGCTTTGATGAGGACAACCTGGGGACTGATCTCAGCTGGTAACGGTTCATTCCTGATCTGAACTAATAAAAGGCAGCTCATAGGTTCTGATGTCAACCTTGTTAACAAAGGACAGTCTGCTGCACGAACTCCTTAGTTGTGATACATAACTAGCGTGTGACCCATTCATAGGGTTGGCCACGGGCCACCTAGAGTTCCACTGGATATTGCTCTGGACTAGGCAGTGGACTGAGATTGAACTGAGCCAAAGGGGAGTGTCTGGTCTGTAAATGTTTGCACTTTGTAAAAGTTTTGTGGACCAGATGCACCCTGAATTTTGTGTAAGAAAGGGAAATGGAGCAGATTCAGCTTTTTGGAAGAGTGAGCGCAAATGCCCAGTTTGGTCTCAAGTCACTGTAAACGTGACTAACCATTCTCAGAGGAGGCGTATGGCAGTGTGCATTGTGTCCGGGTCAACCTTACCGAGAGTGTATTTGAGGCACAGTTAATTACGAAGCATATATTGATCAGGAAAGAGAGCCACCCTTGTTCTTTCTTTCCTTCCAACCGGAAGCATTTATCCCCAAGCTTCCAGCACTTAACCTGTGATACCCCTGCTTGAGGGGTCAGGGCCCGGGGAGGGGGGAATGCATTTCTTTGAAGAGGGGACTTAATTGGTTCATCCACTGATCATTGAAGATGGTGTGTGTGTGTGTGTGTGAAATGACTGTGCAGAATACTTTCTTCTAGCTATGGCCTGGTTAGGACCTTCCAGTCGCTGGAGCTGTTGCCTTGAAACTCGAGCTCCCACCGCTGTGTAATTTCCCTTCGTCCCCCTGGCACATCAAGGCCTAACAAAGCAGTGGGCTGGTTCAGGTGCTGTTAGATCCTCCCTTGTACATGTTCTCATGGACTTGGTCACATAGACACAGTAATGTCTGATCCAGTGCAGCCGTATGCTGTGTCCACAGTGCTTGACGTGGGCATGAAAGTCGTCCGCTTCTTGGCTGTTGCCATCCCCGGTCCGTGTGGTCAAACCCAGTGGCTCAGAGCCAGGCTGTGAGGAGGTCCTCGAAGGCCTGAAGTGAGCAGCTCCATCACATCTGGCGAGAGCAGTGCTGTGGAACAAGAGGGCTCTACAGACAGAGCCTGGAATCCGGGTGGAAGGGGGGTGAGGTGCTCTGAGGAAGCATCAAGATATTTCTCCTCATGTTTTTAAATAGATACCAGTGTAAATTGTGCCCCTTTTCTTATATTGTATATTTAAAAATGAAAACTGTGTGATTTTGTATTATGAACAAGTGAGACCTTGACAAAAGGACCCACATAGAGCTGCTTCAGCCATATTCTCCGCCTGTGTTCCTAGCAACACCCTATGCAATAAAGCCCCGGAAGAGGCCCCCCTTTGAGTGGTGTCTGTTTCCTTAAAATCTCTCCGTGGTCTCCTTTTCCCATGCCGTTTATTTGCAAGCAACTGCTTAATCAAAGTGAGCAGTCAAGGCTGCAGTCCTATACAGATTTACTCATGAGTAAACACCCATGAAGAAAGTAGGGCTTGGTTCCAAATAAACATGCCCTGAACAAGGTGTGGTGTCTTCCTCCGGCAGAAGGGGTTGGAGAAAGGCTGTGCAGCGTGAAGTGGCAGAGAAAACAGCGGCTGAGGGTTCTCTGGGGACCTCCTCCTGACACCCTATCCAGGGATATGGCTCTTATTTTCCCATGCAGCTCTATGCAACTGGAATCCATGTTTGAGCAGTGCCTCGGCTTGCCTTGTAGTGCTGGCTCCGAGATGCTCTGAACTTTGAGGAGGAGGGGTCCGGCTGCTTATGCTACAACACAGCTAGATGCAGCCAACTTTGTCCCCACATAGTACATGGCCTAATAACGTCAGGTGCAGCATCTTGGGCTCACCCACCTGCTCGGCCTCCACTGTGACATCTGCAGTCATGGCCCTTCTGCTCTGCATGCTGGACAGACATGCTTGCAAAATCGAAGACTGTAACATTCAGAAATCCCAGTGACAGAACATTTCAATCTTGGATATACTGGGGCAGGGAAATGTCAATACTAAATTGCTGAATTGGAACTCATCAAGAGATTCTCTCCAGATGGCTTAAATGTATTTACTTTAAACATTTTTATGTCACCTTTCCACCCAACTCAGAGTTCCCCAGGGAGGAAACCATTAAAACAACCATTAAACAAAAATGCATAGACATAAACAGGAGGGAGGGTCAGTGAGCGGATGCCAGGTGAAACCCATAAGTCTTCACCAGCTGGCTGAAGACAATGATTGAGGGGGGGGGGGGCAAGCAAATCTCCCTGAGAAGGAGATGCCATAATTTTGGTGCGATGACCAGCAAACCCTTTCTTGGGTTGCTGCCCTTTAGCCTCTGGCGGCAAAGACAACCAAAGACAGGCCCTGAGGACAACTGCAGCGATCAGGTAGGTTCACGTGGCAGTAGGCAACTGTGACAGATGGGTGACTGTCCTGCCTTTCTTTGAGTGATGTACCAATCCCCTGTTACCAGAGAGAACCTTAGATTGCTGAGTAGGGAGGAGGGACTGGAAGCTATCCGTCTTGAACCACAAGGATATAAATGTCAGTGGCTACTAGCCAGAGTGACTGAGGGGAACCTCCACATTCAGAGGAAGTCCACTTCTGAATGCCAGTGCCAGGAGGCAGCATCAGGGGAAGGCCTCTGCACCTCTTTGTCCCGTTGTTGGTCATCCATAGTAACTGGTTGGCGACTGTGTGAGACAGAATGCTGGGCTGATTTGACCCAGGAGGGCTCCTCTTCTTATGTTATAAATAAGTACATAAATAAGACAGTTGCTCTTCAGGGAGAGAAAAGGGTCTGACTGTGGAGGGGATACAGGAGGTCTGGAGGTTTGGGCCAGGGATAGCAAACAAATTAAAAGAGAAAAGTGATCTTAACTGCTGGCAGTTCTCTTCCAGGAGAAGTATTGCTATGGCTGATTTGATCAATTCTCAACGTTGGTTCTGTCTTATGAGGTTTCACTAAAAACATTGTCCGAGCTGAAGGTGGCTCTAACCTCTGAAGGGATTTTGTTCACTTGCCTAGAAGCACCTCTGTTAGCAGTTTTTCTCTGAGAAAGAAAACATTTACCTCAGTGGAATGCTGTGAAGCTAGGTTGCTACAGTGCCATTCAACCAACAGCTGTTTTAAACACCAGAGTTAAATGCTACCAAGGAAATAATCAGGTTCTTCTTTTGACCTCCTGTCTCCTGCGCCTTAATCAAACTATACACACTACGTCACTGCACACGCCATGACCATTGTAACAAAGCCTAGGTCGCATTCTTTTATTTTTATGCACACTAAAAGGGGGAGAATTTTCTGTCACAAATAACCCCCAGAACCTAGGGCCATCACAGTGGGTCTTAAAGCATGTTAGTCCCGAGCCATATAAGGCTTTAACACCTTGAATTGGGCCTGGAAGTTGACTGGAAGGCAGGCAGGTAGACTAGACTTCTACAGTCCCCGTGACCCAGACCGGTCAGTGTTCTGGCTCAGCATTCTGTACCAACTGTAGCTTCTGAACATCTCCAGGGCGGCTCCGCACAGAGTGCTTCAGAAGTCAAGGAGATGGGAGATGGAGATGGGAGATGGGAGATGGGAGTAAGCAGTGAAGTGGCTAAATTTGCGGATGATACAAAGTTCTTTTCAGACCTTGGCTGAAGTCACAGTTCCTGACACGTGACATCACAACTAGTTGCTGTGGAAGAGTTATCATTTTGTTCAAACAGAGAAATCAGCTTTGAAACATCAAGGCACCTAAGGAGCAGAATAAAGGCAGGAGGGAAAGAAGCCCACAGAATAAAGGCAAGCAGTTCCTTCTGGGTTTTCCATGGAGCAATGTAATTTGTTCCTTTTTCCATACAATCAATACAAGTTTATATTGCAGATATATGCAAATGGTTTTCACTGTTCAGAAAGCAAAACTTCCATAGAGTGGAATGGCCAGTGGAATACCTGAGTGAATATGTTGTCTAAGAAGCAACAGTTGGCACATAGTTCAAGATGAGGTTGCCACGTTTTGCTGGGCTGCTTCTAGTATCTTTGTTAGCAGCCAGCTGTCAAATAAAAACCAAGCAGGTGAAGCTGGAAAGTGATTCAAAGCAGAACTTCCTCAGATCTTCTTCATGGTCTCTGTGCATTCACACCTCTGGGATAAAGGGCGCCTGTGCCTGACCCCATCAGTAACTTAACGAGCCTAAAGTCATTCTTCCCATGCTCCTTCCCTGAGGCGCACACAAGCTCCCACCACGCATGCCTACGGGGCAGAGCCTGGGTCTCCCGCCAGGTCTCTTCTGACCACTGCGCTGAGCATTCACTCTTCAACCCAGTTGGTGAACGTCTCTCCAGATCGTGAGAGAAGCCAGTGTTGGATCAGGCCAATGGCCCATCCAGTCCAACACTCTCAAACAGTGGCCAAAAATACCAGGTGCCATCAGGAGGTCCAGCAGTGGGGCCAGGACAATAGGAGCCCTCCCACTGTTGCCCCTCCAAGCACCAAGAATATAATGCATCACTTGCCCCAAAGTGAGAGTTCCTATCTATACCTCGTGGCTAATAGCCACTGATGAACCTCTGCTCCATATGTTTATCCAGTTCCCTCTTGAAGCCATCCATGCTTGTAGCTGCCACCACCTCCTGTGGCAGTGAATTCCATGTGTTAATCACTCTTTGGGTGAAGAAGTACTTCCTTTTATCTGTTCTAACCCGACCGCTCAGCAATTTCATGGAGTGCTCACGAGTTCTTGTATTGTGAGAAAGGGAGAAAAGTACCTCTTTCTCGACCTGCTCTATCCCGTGCATAATCTTATAAACCTTGATCATGTCAGCCGTCGTGTCTCCAAGCTAAAGAGCCCCATGCTCTTTAACCTTCCTTTATCGGGAAAGTGTTCCAACCCTTTTATCATTCTAGTTGCCCTTTTCTGCACTTTTTCCAGTGCTATAATATCCTTTTTGAGGTGTGGTGACCAGAACTGTACACAGTACTCCAAATGAGGTTGCACCATCGATTTATACAGGGGCATTATGATACTGGCTGATTTATTTTCAGTTCCCTTCCTAATAATCCCCAGCATAGCATTGGCCTTTTTTATTGCAGTCACACACTGTCTCGATATTTTCATTGAGTTATCTACTACGAATCGAAGATCTCTCTTGGTCAGCCGCTCTGAGACTCTTTCTGGTAGTGAAGGGCGGGGTATAAATTCAATCTTCTTCTTCTTCCTCTACAGAGTCTTCC